CTTATAAAGCAGGATCGTCCAGGACGATGCCCAGATCGTCCCGGGACGAACTCCTCTGGACACGGATCTCACAAACGAAAATTAATTCCAATTTGTTTCGTCCCTGGACGATGCTATCTATTCGGTTCGTCCCGACCCTTACATGATCGTCCAGACGAAATTGACAGATTCTTCACAATTTTCTTCAGTTCGTCCTGTGCTAAGGCCAGTTCGTCCGGACTAACAGCACTAAAAAAAATCAGCTTCGGAGGGGTTTTACACCGATTGCGAGGATCTGGTGAAGGAAGCAGAAGTGAGAGGGGAGCACCTACACCTTAATATGACATGTGTCCCTTAAGTCGGTGTGAAATTTACTCCAAATCACACAATGAAGGTGAATGGATAGATCAGGGAGCAGCCAATGGTTGTCCTAGTAGATAGCAGGGTTATGCATAACTTTATCTCATATCGGATTGTAGGCCAGTTGGGATTAAAGTTGGTGGATACAAGGAGCTTTGAAGTCATGATAGGAACATGAAAGGTGGAGAGAAGTAGAGGGATTTGCAGGAGGCTGGTGCTAACACTCTAGGGCCTATAAATTATGGAGGATTTTCTTCTCTTGCATTTGTTAAGCGTTGATGTGATATTAGGAATGAAGTGGTATAAACGATGGGAAAATAAAGATGGATTGAAAATCTTTGGCGATGGAGATTCAGTTGGAGGGGAAGAAGATGGAGTTGTGAGGAGATGTTAGCCTGTGCAGAACCATGGTTTCACTCAAAACCATGGTCAAAGCAATACATGGGATAGGGTTGGGCTACTTTGTGGAGTTGCAGAAAGAGGAGGAGGTTCCATATATAGTCTAACTAATCATGCAATAATTCAATAAGATGTTCATGCTGCCTCAAGGCCTACCTCCCCCAAGGGAGCATGAGTATGCCATCAACCTAAAAGAAGTGGTATCCCCTATCAATGTTTGACCCTATCGATATCCACAGGTTTAGAAGAATGAAATTGAGAGGCTAATCAAGAAGATATTGGAATTGCCCTTACCTAAAACCCCGAAGGAGTTGAGGGGATTTTTGGGACTCATAGGATGCTACAAGAAGTTTGTGAAGGGATACAATTCTATAACATGGCTACTGACAGAGCAACTAAAAAAGGATATCTTCAAATGAGGGGAGATAGCTACATAGGCATTTGAGCAGCTAAAGAAAGCCATGTCTAGTGTCCCTGTGTTAGCACTATCATATTCTATCCAGCTGTTTGTCGTTGAGAATGATGCATTAGGCTAAGGTTGGGGACAGTCCTCATGCAAAGTCAGAGTCCCATAACTTATTTCAGTCAGGTATTGACTGCTAGGGCCAGACTGAAGTTGGTGTATGAAAGGAAGCTGATGACAATATTATTGGCAATACATAAGTGACATCCTTATCTGTTGGGGTGACACTTCATAGTCAGGTTCGACTAGAGGAGTTTGAAGTTCCTGTAGAATAAAGGATGGTGATAGAGGAGCATTAGCGGTGGCTAACTTGAGAACAAGGTGCGTTTTTTGGGAGGGAGTATTATTACGACTAGAGGGGGTTGGGTGGAATCACAAAGGGAGCCATAGGGAGGGGTCGGCCAGCCTTGTGAGGCCTAGGAGAGTTGTCATGCATTATGGAAGGAGGAGAAATAAAGGGGAGCTATTTATAAAGGTTTCCTAATTATGTTTATTGTGTTTATAATTGTTTAAATTGTTTGAGAATGTTTTCTAAATTATGTTTATGTTGTTTGGGAAGGTTCTATTTGTGTTATTATGTGTTAGGGCTATTTTAAAGAAAGTTTTGTCCAGAGTTAAGGGAGGAGAGAATTTGTGTTTGCTGTAGTTTTATTTTGGAGAGCTTCCTTAGTGGTGTCTATAGTTTGTGGGAGAGCTAATCTACCTCTCGAATAGTAGATCAATTGTATCTTTCTTTATTGTTGAAGAAAAAATCAATTGTTGAAACGACTTCTTTGCTAACATTGTGGTACCTTGCACTTTAGTTTATTTATTTTAGATACCCACCTAGACCTTCATGCTTATTCTGACTCCGATTGGGCTACAGATAAAATTGATGGCCATTCTATCATCATTTATTATGCTTATCTAGTACAACTCTGATCTCATGGTATGTTAAAAAACAAATTAATATTGCTCGTTCTTCTTCTGCAGAGGTGGAATACATAGTCTTAGTCATCCTTGCTAGTGATTTTATTTGGTTGTGAAGGTTACTACTTGAGTTTCAAATTTCTTTACCCAAACCAAAGCTTCTCTTTTGTGATAACATTTCAGCTCTTGTTTTGGGTAATAGCCCAGTTTTCATGCTTTCACCAATCATAGTGAAATTGACCTTTTTTTAATTAGAGATTGTATCAAACAACAACATATTGCAGATCATATATTATCTTGCATGATCAATCAGCAGATATTTTCACTAAATCACTTGTGCCACTTGGTTTGCTCATCCACGAGACAAGTTAACACTTCAAGAAAACTTGGGGGGAGGTTATGCTAGGCACTGTAGGTTGTCACTTTTTCAGACTAATTTCATCATCACCGTTAGTTTGCAACTGAATGCTATCTCACCCTTCATTTATCATCATAGTTGCATTATTGCATGATATTTTATTAATATAAATGAGGCTATAAATTATAACTGTGATGGAAATTAGAAAATATTAAAGGTTGTAGTTTTGTGTTCATCCTCATTATTATTTTCTCTATTTTATCTGCACCTGTTTCATTTGCTTCCATATACTAGCAGCTCAATGATCTACCTTTATATAGTATCAGAGTATTTATAGTAAAGGACACGCTGTAGGTAGGAGAAAGATCAAGAAATCATTGAGTGGAGTAGATGAATGCCCCAGCCGCTGATGCCGTAGATGCATTGGAGTGGTATTAGCAAAAAGAGGTGTAGATGATGCTGATGATGAAGACGGAGGAGATATAGCAGATCTAATAGGTTACAGATAGCAAAGATTGGGACCTTAGAGTAAAGTATAGTGGGTTGTGGAGTCCTTAATAAAAAAAATCATGAGCATAAAAAATAATATAACAAGGATTATTGACAATTAATTTATGGATGGAAAGCAAATTGTGTGACAAATTGGGAACATGAAAAATATTCGAGGGATTAAGCTCATGTGACGGGGTCTGAAGAATGCCCTGTCCAGCGTGAGTAATAGGAACAAACTGTCCATTGCCAGCTTGAACTTGAGAGGTTCTTGTACACAACTGAGATGTCTGAAGATGAGATGCCATAGAAGTACGATGAAATGAGGTTCCAAAATCCGGAAACCAATTTGCATTCGGTGCAGATGAGATTGAAAAAAATAAATCATTGCGATGCCAACAATGAATCACTGAATGTCCAAATTTGCCACAAATTTGACACCCAACTAAGGAAAAGGATCAATGACCCCTGTGAGCAGTCCTGGATGCTAGACGACGGCTGTGAGTTGAAGTAGGATTGTGTAGAGCTCAACTAGAAGCAGAAGAGAAGATGCAACCTCGCACACGGCCATGAACAACAATAAGAGCAAAGGCCGAATAAGTAGAATTAGCATGGGTTTTATCACGAGCAGTATCTGCAGACTGCAGCTAATTTGAGCTCCTCACTGCACAAAAGTGTATAGAAATCATCTAGATTGAGTGGATGCAATGTGGACCCTTGATAAGCCGCAGACAACCCATTAAGTATATAAAGTATGACATCCTCAAGATCAATACTGGAGCTGGCAGCTATAATCACATCAACTTTTTTGCTTGATATCAGAAAGATATTGAACCATTGATTTATACTTCGTTTGAAGCTGATGTAGTTAATTTTTTCATTGTTAGTATTCAAGAGAAATTTGTGGATTACAAGCGACGCTAAATAGTAATTCAAATATCATGACATGAGTCCAAATTAAGAACATAGAGAAGCAAATTGGAGGAGATGGAGTAGAGATCAACAACCAAGTTTTGATCAATTAGCATTCAAGTTTGAAAATGAAGATTATGAACAACAGTTCTATCATGAAGAATGTGCTTTTTCGCGGGTTCGGAGGTAGACCCATCAAGTAAAGCCATCAAGCCCATTTGGAGAAAACAGTTTCAGAATTGGAGATTTGAAGTTAGGTAGGCAACAAAATGGGAACCATGGTTGAAGAGCCAGACTGCCATGTAGAATTGAACTAAAAAATTTTCAATAGAAGCTATAGTAATTGCTGAAGGGAAAATAAGCTCTAATAGAATATAAAAATTGAGTGTTGAGCTGTCAGTAGATAGAAGCAAATGATGTCGTTGCAGATAAAACCGAGAAAACAGTAATGAGTATGAACACAAAACTGCAACTTTTCAGATTTTCTAATAACCATCAGAGTTGTATTTTACAGTCTTACTTAAATTCCTAAAATATTATACTACAGTACAGCTATGATTATGAATGAAGGGTGAGAGTGCATTCAGTTGCAATGAATAGTGATGATGAAATTAGTCTGCAAAGAGGTTTAATTTTTTACAAAGAATCTTTACTATATTAAGAGTTCTAATTTTTTAGGAGGAGCAATTGTCCTAGGCAAGACTAAGGGCGAACAAAAGAGAAGTATACTGTGATTCTCTACTAGTGCGTCTGCTCTGTTGCAATTGGAAAGCATATTTTTTGCTTTGTTATATATATTTGTTTGAGGAAAGTGATATTTTCCCACGTAGCGAGATAAAGGCTTGATGTTGTTGTTATGAGAATGAGATATTTGTTGAAATCCGGCTAGTTTTAGCCACTTCTTTCGATTACAATTATCTTTAATATATAACTCACAGCAACTTAATGTTTGGTAATGAAATGTTATCATTAAAGTCAATATAGAAATATAGCTGAGGCCAAACAGGAACATTGCAGCCAAATTGTTGAAATTTAACTCTACAAATAAGCCCCGAAGGACCTGAAATCTGAATCAAGTTATTAATATGGAAAATGCTTAAGTAATGAAATTATTTAATATGGCAAATGCAGGAGGAGAAAAGAATGTATGAAGAGAAGTTCAGGCAGGGTTACTAAGGGCTTTGGGCGCCCCAGTAGAGAGTTGGTGCTGTCTTTTGCTGCTGGCCTGGTTGAACAAAAAAGCAGTTTTAACGTCATGATGTTGTAAGTCCGTAATTTTAACTCATCAACCGTATGAATTACTGATCATCAATCCTTAATTCTAGCTGCCCAAGAAATTAAAAATGTATGCTTCCAGCACTGCTGTTCGTTTGGAATGTAATTTGATTGAAGTCCTTTAAAAGGAAGCTGCCTTAACTTGCTAAGTTTGGGGCAGCTTTTTTATTGTTTTCTTAAAACAGTTTTTCAGTATAAAAAATTAAAATGTGTTAAAAAGTTGCTTTAAGAAGCAATAAGAAAGCTGTCTCAAACAAAGCTACAACTTTCTTACTGTTTTTTAAAGCAGATTTTTAGTTCTAAAAATTTTTATACTAAAAAAATTGTTTTAAAAAATAATAAAAAAACTGTTTCAAATGATTCTTCTCGAAGAAGTTAAGAATCTTGTGCACATATGCCATCCTTTGACATATTGAAAAAAATTGTTCATAAGAAAAAAAAAATCAATCTCTACCAGTTTTAGTTTATATTGATCTATAATTTATGAATAAATGTAAATTTATTTATTATGATATTTTTAATAATATTTTATAGCTGATTAAATACTATGAAAATCGGGTGCCATTGTCATCAAGATATAAATTAAATTATGCTTATTTTCAATGAGATTAGATATGCAAGATATTAGATATATTTTATTTTATGTTAAAATATAAATAAAATAAAGTTAAAAAAAAAAAAAAAAAAGTTCAAACATCCTCTCAACTGCTATGCTTAAAATTCAATTCTTATGAGTTGAGCCTAGCTAAGTTGGAGTTTGTATGATATACAAGCTTGATTATATGCTTGAGCTTAAACTTGTGGCTTGATAAGCTTAACTCGTGAGCTCGTTAATGAGTCGTATTTGAGCCGACTCATGATTTGGTTTGACTCACTTACACCTCTAACTGTATAGGTTTTATAGCCAATTTGCCCATATTAGATAAGTTGCTAGTTTGAGGCATGCTATAATTAGCCTATTTTGAATCTTAATGATCTAATATAAATTATGGTATTTCATTTAGTTAGATTTTATACAACTATAAATAAACAAAAAATTTGAAAATTTTTACTATGTAATTTTTTATATGTATAGTGTGAATTATTCTTCTCATATTGACACATGTAGACTAACTTTTTATTGGATATTTTATATTGCAGGCATATTAAACATTTTCGCAAGTATATAGACTCTTGTAAAAATCATTATAGAATAACAAACGATTCGACATAATATTGTGAATATTACATATAAATAATTTTATGATTTATGATTACTAAATTGTGTATACCAATTTATATTGTAAGGAGTTTTTTTTTTTTCAAATTTTATCGTTCTTAAGTTGCCAATGCAACTTGACAACCCAAATCTTATCCAATGGCATAAGATGTTGAGAGATGTCTATTTTTAACTTATATGAGATTGTTTGTCGCGGTATTATTTAATGATTAACTTGTATAGAAGAGAAGATAAATTCATCAAGAATTTTTGACCAAGATGAATTTGCTTGCCAGAGTAAAGAGTTTTACTCGATGATGTTAACCTGTATGAAGAGATAAAAAGAAATAAATCAAATATTTTTTTAACCTATTTATGATTATTTATTAAAATATTACTTAATAATATTAACTTGTGTGGAAGAGATTGAGCTGAATCGATTGTACATTGATTGGAATGTGGTGAATGTCATGTGTCTCTCGAAAGGAATGTGATAATTCATCTGTATTTAGACTTTTGCTGACCTTTTGAGGTCATATCTGTGATATTGTCCATCGAGTAGAAGTCTAATTAGGATTTGAGTGCAAAATTTAAAACTCAGATGAAAGTTTCCTATAAAATTTCTCATAATTTATAGGAACCTTTGAGAAAGATAATTGACAACAAATTTATTTATGATACGTAGATAAATATTGGGTGTAAAGACTTACCCTGCCTAGCATTTGAACCCCTTAATCTGGCCTAATTCTTATGGAACTGATGTGACTAATGGGTGATTGAAGAAGGAATTTTATAACTACAATCATGGCGATAGCTTTATCCTTTTGAGGTTGCAATTGAGCTTCCCTCAATCTTTATTTTCTTCTTTTAGAGCTGATGATCAGTAGATGGTATTGGGATTATCCTATTAGAATCGTACTTTGATGTGAATGATCTTTTGAGACTATAATCAAGGAAACCCTCCAGCTTAGAATCATTTATCACAAACGGGTCTAAATTGTTGCATGATAGAAAATTTATGATAATAGAGAAAGTTTAAAGTCTTAGTTTTATATGTAAATCTAGCACACACATTGATAAAAAAAAAGTTGTATGAGTTTTATATGAAAATTTTGAAATGGTAAAAATCTATAGACTCTGACCTAATTAAAATGATTTTATTAGTATATCTTGTCAGTTACAAATGATGCCATTTCTTATAATTGGAGAAGTTGTTGACAGAGTATAGAAGACATAATTTTAGAGAATGAGTTTTGTAATGAAAGTTGGAAGAGACTTGAGGTATTAGAGTTGTTTTTAAAAGATCATTTATGATATGTTTAATTGTTCTCCTTAAGAATATGGAGATCTGAGACCACGAAGTCTAGTATAAATTTTGATGTTGATATTGTGAATCAAAGTTAGTATCAACAACATGCATGGATAATATAGATGATATATATCAATATTATTTGTGATGGTAAATGATAATGTCAGAGCGGTGTCGATGTTGTGATGATGGTATGCATTGACTTTATATGAGATGTTGTGTGCCGATATTGTTAGTGATTGTGGATGATGAAATTGGTGAGCCTCAGCATTCATGTCAATGACTTATATGAACCTTATAGGTGATAGTGTATGTCGATGTTGGTGGTGATGATAAGCAACAAAGTCAACATATGTTTACCTTTTTTATGTATGATATGTATCAACCTCATAAGTGATGACATATATTAATATTGGCGGTGATAATAAGCAACAAAGTTAACATACAATAATATTTCAACTGACGACAACATTAATCATAAAGGTTGTGACATGCATCAACATTATTAGCAATGATGGGAGATAGTAGTCAATCAATGGTTTGGTTGGACTATTATGTTCATGAGATCATAATCAAACAATAATGATCAGAAGATTATATTTGGGTGACGTTTGTCATAAGATTGTCGTTGGGCTAAGACGGTTTTATGATGATGGTCAAGTGGCTGTGGTTGGGTGACAGCGATAAGGATAAAGTAGTTCGACAATAATAATTGAATGGCGATAATTCGACAATGGTGGTTGTATGATTGTCATCCCATGGAGATTGTTAAGCATCAATAATTTGACAGTGTTCGTCGAATAACGATATTCTAACAACGATGGTCGGGCTGTGATAGTCTGACAGAGTTGTTTGATTGACGACGATCTACTAGTGATGGTGATATGATAGTGGTGGTTGGGTGCTAGCGATCTATTGGTGGTGGTTAGATTAAATTACTTTTGATACTGTTGCATTGGTCTCATTCATATATTTAGTTTTAACATAAATTTATTGAAATCAGAATTATGATAATTTTAAATTTAATTTCATAAATTTTCAATTTAAAATTATATCGAGAGTAATCAAATAAGTGAAGCATCGATACACAAAATAAAAACATCTATAAATACGAAAATTATTTTTAAATAAATAAAAATTAAAAATATTTTTATATCAGATATAATATAAGAACGAATAAATGATGTTAATTTTCTAAAAAAAAAAAAACAAACAATAACAAATTTTTAATAAACAACGCATCGAGCCGAAGAGTCCACCGCACTAACAGCTAAATTCTAATAAATTTGCTCAACGACCTGTGGAGGCCACTGGTTCAAAGAATCTACGCCCCATGTCGTCTTCTTCCTCTCTCATCCATGGCACATACCCCCTTTATCGAACTAGGGGTCCCTCGCTCCATTCTCCTCCTCTTCCTATATAATAAGGAGCCATACGCTTCCCTTCCCTTCCTTAGCCCCTCCGATCTCCTCTTCATCGCTGCTGCCTTCTCTTTGTCTCTATCCGATGGGAGGAGAAGCGGTAGCTACAGTATCTGCCGAAGACTCGGCGATGGACGCCATCCAGAGACGGCTAATGTTCGAGGACGAGTGAGTTCTTTGCTTTCATCTTCCCTCGTCTTTTATGTTGTTTGCTTCTGTATTGAAATCCTTTATGTTATTGATTGGCGATTTATCTCTTGTGGTTTTTTCGTACACCGGGTCTTTTCATGGGATGATAGGCTTTTATGGGATAGGCTTTATTTTAATTTGGGTTGGATGATTTTGATAGTTATGATTCGCCTTTCTCGCTGCGGGGCACGGTTTGTTGGTTTCGTTATCAATATTGAATTCTTTAGTCTGTAAGTTGGCTCATTGGACCAAGTGAGCAATTAGCAGATTGTGATTCCGCTGCCTTCTTAAGAAAGATGTAATAATAAACGCTTCCCCTGCACCCGAGCCCAGTCAATCTGGTTTCGGATTGAGCAGATCACTGCATTTTGAATCAACCCTATTACTGAAGGATCCTCTGTAGTTATAACTGTTTGATTTCTATGATGTTATAATAGAAAATCGAATCTTTTAGATTTGGTGCTTCCAGCCTAGGATATAATTTTTTCAAAGCAAACCTTTTTTTTAGTATTCAGGACGGCATGGTGAAATGTGGGGTTTGAACCTTAAACTGTTGCAGATAAGGTTAGATCGCTTTTGTTTGGGACAAATATATTGATTATGGCTTTGGAAGATGATTTCATATTTGATAAGTTCATGGTTTGCATGCAAGCTGCTGTTTAGTCTTCCCTACATTTTACCAACTTTATTTATTGTTTACGCTTTTGCAACTCAAAATTTTTATTACATTGTGATGAATAGTATGCTTCATGCAAATTTTCGATTCATCTGATATGTCTTATGTAATTTTCACAATAATTCATGGTCACAGTCATAATATATTACATTTTCCTATGCTCCACTAGTTAATAATTTTACCCCATTTATTAACCCCACAAATATCTTGGCATTGTTATAGTATGCGACTTCTTAAGCATTGGATCTTTGCTATATTAATTGTTTGTTGCATATCCATTCACTGTTCACAATTTCTTAAAAGAAAATTCAACACTTCAATTTCACTCTCTTCAATATTTTGATTTTTGAGTTATCAAGATTTTTTCTCAATATTAAGATGATTTGCTTGTTTGGTCTTGCAGGTGTATTTTGGTGGATGAGCATGACAATGTTGTTGGTCATGAGTCCAAATACAACTGTAAGTGATGAATCACCATCTCAACATTCTTTATTTCATTAGTATATAGACATATAATTCTTGAGAGAAAAAGAAGAGTTAGCTTCTTTGTTTCGTCGCCTCATCCATACATGCTGGTTTACCCTTTTAGATTAAATACCATTCAATTGAAAGTAACTGAGGAAAAAATATAAATATATGTCTAAGGTGCATGGTTGGAGCTGTCACTATTCGGCATCTGGGTTGGTGCCACATGCTCTCGCTCTCATAAGAATGAACCATTGCCCCGGTTTATTTTTTTAGCATTTTGTTCTCACATTCTCATCTTTTCCAATCTTTTCATTTCTACAATTGCCTCCAATTCATGTAAATATAAAGCTGTGCTCATCTTCTCAATCAATATTGTAAATTTCATTACTATGTATGAGCCTATTAGGCTTTTTATGAGGGCAAAATATTGAAGCTAGGACTACTACCATGTTGAAGCCTTTGATCATCTATTTCTTCTCACAACTTCGTTATTTTTAAGTGATGAATATCTAGGTTGAAAGGTGATGTAAGTTTGACTCCTGGTAGCTTGATTTGTAAAATCAGTGAACTTTATTCGACGATTTTTACCCTTCCTGGGACCTAGGATTGTACTTGTGACATAATTGGAAAGTGATGATGATGTTAAAGGAAGCAAGCACTGGTACATTCTTGGAAAGTCACTGAAGATGGATCAACTTCTTTCCTGCTCAGAAAATATAATTTGTGCTTCAATAGTTTGTTCAGAGATCTTGATGTTTTACTATAGTATGTCAAGCCTGAGAATTAGAAGTACATACAAGTAGAAGTGTACGTGCATGTAATTTTAGAAGAATAGAAATTCATCTACTAATTAATCTAGGTATCAGCTTAGTCATCACATATATATTATGACAGAATACCATTTATGTTATGTGAGAACGAAAAATACTGGTCTCTCATTCATTCCTATTCAACAATGATCATGTCTGACTCATATGACATCCCCACAATTATATATTGAATGCAACATTGAATAGACTATATCATATTACAGTCCTCTTCTACAATATAATTGTTTCCAATATGTGTAATATAATCAAATTGCACTCATAATAAGCAATTAAACTAATCAATAGCAAAACATATGAACAAAAGAAGATTGAGCAATTTCTCTTTTAATTAAAGAATCAATTTGAAATGCATTATTTTCATCTAACAAGGAAAAGAAGATCCTCTATTCCCATCAAGAGAAAATTTTTAAAAAATAAGTCCATTATATTTCAACCGAATTGTCACTTGGGAAATATGAGCGAAACTTTTATTTATTGTTGACCGCTACACTAAATATGCGCAAAAGATATGAAATCGGTGAAACAAGTGACGCGCGCGTCAACGTGACACGTCACTTGGAGGTCAAACAACATCCGATCGTCAAACGGATTGCGCCTTCATTATTAGAGAATCGAATTTGCCTAAGTAGGACCGCCTTGCAGTCAGAACGGGCAAAAACAATCAAGGTCGGCGATCGACGCGCAACATTATCCAGACGACTTCCGATCACGAAATTGACTTCGCCATTGCGTTCAGAACGTTGACAACACCTAAAACCAACTATAATTTTTCTCAAAGAAATTCGCACGCAAGAATCGACATAGATACCGAGTCGACAACGCTCGAATTTCAAGGAACGATGAGCAAATCGGGGCATTTTTCTGATATAATTGACTCACTTCTGTCATTATAAAATAAAAATGATAATAATAACAATAGTGAATATTATTTATCATTAATAATAATAATATAATTAAAAGGAAATCAAAATTAACTCAAATCAGAAGATTACCTCGTTATCACTTGCAACGGCTCCGTCCAAATCCCAAAAATCCCGTTGATCTTCGCATTTTCTCCCATGAATCTTGTGACGCGATTTTTCCTAGATCAAAACCCTGCCTTGGGGTTAAGAAGTAATCGAACAATGCCTTGTTGTTTTTCTTTTGCTGTCTCTACAAACAAAAGCCCCTACGATTCGAAGCCTCCAAGCTGGAAGCTCTACCTCAGGCTCCCGTTAACTACTCCTACAGCCGAACAAACTCCTCCACTCTCGCACACTTCGATCCCGACATCAAGACCGGCCAAAGCCCCCAATCCGAACTGCTGCCCTTCAAGGCCTATTACAAACAAAATTCATTGACAAATGCAGAAAGCCTACTACGAATCTAAACCTTTGTTGGCAATTAGACAAAGTCGACAAGGCTCAACCAACAAAATAAAAATACTCATAAGAACCCTGATGATAATCGTGTTGATAGAAAATCTCAACCGCAGGGGACCACAAACAAGAAAATGACTCCTAAATTCTCAAATTCCCATGAAAATTCAAAATTTAAAAATCACTAAGATTTTAAGTTATTTAAAATTAAAATAAATCATCAAATACTTAAAGCAAAATTCATCCACCCTCCGCAACAATTTGCTGAGGTGGATAAATATGAAAATTATTTCAGCTCACAAAGAGCAAATGTTTGATCAAGAATATCACTAGGAATCATTCTCAAACAAATTCCTGCTAGTAAGAACATGACACTGTGTACTCTAATTGGTGGTTTCGTCGCTAAATGGCACCACAAGTAAACAGTTATGACCAAGACCATCTGAACCGGGTGTTTTTTCCGCTAAATTGAACCACTAAATTACGGTCATTGTCAGAATTCACATGTTTTCCAATGACTTCAAATTCTTGAGATATGAATCAATAGGATATAATTGATGTGGTATAAAGCTCTCTGTTAGCTAAGGTGGATTCAGATTTGTCCCCTTAGATAAATACTCACCCCAGGTCTACAAGGTACCCATGAACGAAGCAACCCATGGCTGCTGACAAGGATTCTTCTGTCAGGTTGGGTCGACTTCCTCCTCAGACTAAGTAGACTAGGGACCATATTGACCCGAGACGACATAACCATGAGATTATGATTGGGTCTATCATCACTTCCCCCCGCCATCCATTTTTAAGTTCAGGCTGGTGAATTTTTTAATTTTAAATATTAAAATCCCAAATACCAAATCACGCTGCTACTATACGCCGGATATTATGTATATGTTTAACGATTAGCCTTAATCTAAAGTTTTCTCCGGTTATTAGGAGGGGTAATTAATTATAAGGACTTGTGCCTATAGGAAACCTGAACTCATACCCTAAAGTCCTCAGAAAATGAGGGCGAAATTTCTAGGTAATGTCTCATTCACAACCCAATTTGCCTACTAAAAATTTGTTTTGAAACATACTCGTTAAAACTTTCCTCGTCAACCCGAAATGATCCAATGGTGGTCCGCAGAGAGGCTGGGGCGTAAATTTTTGGAGCCCTCATTTATATGTTATAAATAATAATATTTTCACTTAAGCTTTTTTCGGGACATTCTTAAATCGCTTTAGCCAAAGAGTCTGTTAATATATATGATAAATAAAAATGCTTGATTCAAGGGATAACAAGCCGTTAAAGTGATAAATAAGTGAAAATTGCAGCATTTTATCCATTTCTTATTGAAGTTATATATATAAGTTGAAAATTTCTTAAGGCGAAAGAGATGAGGAAATTTCTTCTTGCCAACGAAGGGCTTGAATTTCTTTTTAGGTTAATGGCCTTGGCTTGGATTGCTTTTTAGTTCTTAGGAATGCAGATGAAGTGATTGAAACACAAATAAATTATTTAAATCAAAATATGAGTTAAAAGAACATTTGGAAGGACTTAAATTAAAAGTTAAGGATCTTCTTAATAGAATACCAAAAAAAAGGCAAGGGTTCTCTATTTCATTTTTAATAAGAGGATAGATTTGTGAAGGAAAATAATTAGCAATATGAAATTAAGGTTGAACAATTGTAATCTTGCAATGCAATAAAATAAGTGAATTAATTATAAAACAGTTATTCATAATAGATTAATAGATAAGAAATCAAAATTTTAAATCACAGATGAATTCAAACTAGTTTTTGATATTGCTCATTTGATAATTTTCTTGACTTAATTAATGCTTATAAGCTGTAATATTATTTACTTTTATTTAGTTTAGTATTGAAATATTGTTTTCTATCAAAGGGAAATTTAAGAAGAAATAGTATATGAAAGATTCAAATATTGGATCCCAATTGCCAATCCTAAAATCTTACTTCCCATGCTTCTTTCATTGTCCAAAAAGAAATTGATGAACTTTTCAGAAATAAATAAGTAAATATGCATTTTTTAATATTTTTTATGATATTAAGTGTTTTATGTTAACTTCTTAATTTTAGCTAGATTAAACAACCTTATTCTATTTTTTGGGGGATATTTAGGCCAATTAAATTAAATTCATACACACATCACATACGCAAGACTCAAATCTAAGACCTCTTGATTGGTATCCAAAGCTTCCAATCATCAAACCAAGGTGAGCTGCATACCATATTCCATTTGTAATGATGGCATTTGATTAGTTTAGGTGAGTGTTGACCCCTATACATCAGACCACACGACAAAGGACTCAAACTGGTAAATAAAGCAATATGTGTATTAATGAAACACGTCACTTAAGGGGTCAAATGACCTCCAAATGCCAAACGGATGGTATCGTTGTGATCAGGACACTGAACTCTGCTGGGTCGAGGCCCCTCGTAATTGAATCGGATGAGATTGGTCAAAAGAGATGACCGACACTCGAAATTAAAGCGCGAGGCTGATTAAACGATGTCGGATCAACAAACGAACTTCGTCATTGTGTTCAGAACATTGCAAATACTCAAAAACTGTATTTTATTTGTTCAATTTGAATCATCCTAATGAGTGACATAAATTTCGAGACAACGCGTATTTCAAGGAAATCAGGCCTCGACGTCGCTAAGATGACGTCCAATCATGAAATGGACTATGCCATTACGTCTGGAACGTCATCGACATTCAAAATATACATCTTTTGTGATTAATTGGGATCAATCGTAATGGTGACATGGATCCCAAGGTAAGAACACGCATATCGAG